TCCTGAAATGTTTTGTAATCGGTTGAAAGATATTGTAATCTTGATTATTTATATGAAATTTGTAATTTTTTTTTAATCGATATTGAAATCTGCAGATACATTACAAGAGATTTCAGAAATTTTGTAATCTTCGTACGTTTTTTCCTTAGCGGATCGCCCCTCGACCTATACATTACATTCTATACATTTAACTTTTTAGGGCTAAGATTAAGGTTAAGTAACGGCTAATTTAGGACTAATACTTTTTTACAAACCAACCATAAGCCCGGCAAGTCTTGTACGTGGAGGAAAACAACCGACGCGATCTCCGACAAATGCACTTCTCTTTATTAACAGTAATAAAATTCAATTTACATAAATAATGAATTACACACTGTATTTCATCTGTTCCTGGAAATTTAATGACATTTTAAAGTTTTACGAGGCACTTTGAAGATGTGCCGACTGTGCCATTTCCAATTTTATACCGCACTAGCCAGAAATTTTTATTTTGAAGGTTTTTGAACGCGACACTCGTTCGTTGCACAACCACAACGACTATCGGTGCCCTTCCGTGTTTGGAAAACAATAACAGGATGTTTTAATCGCAGATATTTATAAAGTAATATTCGTCGACAACAAACCGCTAAATTTAGAAATGTTAGATAATCGCTGTTATAGCCTAGTTACTCCTAGATTACAACATCGAGTAAACATTTCCTTTCAATTGGCAATGTTGATACTAGACACAGCTTAAAGGTAAGCAGAAACGGGGTATTTTTGAAAGCAACCGCGATCGGGCCGTGAGAAAATCACAACAAACCCAATGCAATTCAATCTTGTGTGACAAAAAATACCTGAGGTGCAGTATTCCAGCGACTAGTTGTGTCTAAGTGGTTTATACAATCGTTTCCACTAAAACTCTCTCTACCATGGAATTCGTGGTACTTAGAATAGACAGAGAGATGTCTTGAAAGCTTGCATAAGCCTCGTTTAATTTCTAGGACGCCAAAGTGGAAGAAGAAATCTAAAGGTTTGCTTTCACTTTTACGTTTACCGTTTACTGCGATAAATATGAATTATTAAAACTCGGCGTGCTTTGAAAACAACCGAATTCCGTCACGGCGTCCCACTATTGTTAGTTTACTAACATTATCGGTACAGTCACAATTGTTTTCATTCCTTCAAAGCCCACTGTTTAAAGAATCACGTGTGATTTATTTTAAATTTACATTTAATTACTTTTTATATTTCACCAAATCAACTCGAGACCTTGACATTTTTTTACGGTCACACGCAAGTATCTCGAGAGATTCTAACCAGGACTTTAATGATGTAATCGGAAATTATTTTTATTTAGCATGTGTAGCTTCGTTGAAGTTTCGGCCTTTCCCAATCTTACCCGTTTTTTACGGTCGTATTAAGACTAAAAGCGGACCGCATCCTACACCGGTTCTAAAGATGCGTGATTCATAGATTTTTTAGGCAAATATCTGCTTTCAGGTGACATCACGATCGCAGATACATCTGTAGGTATTTCTTGTTAAAGTGAAATTGAACACGGGTCTATTTATTCTCGACAGCGACAGGTACTGGGCTGGGCTGGCCGTTAGTCATTCCAGGGATATACCACTTTCTAAATAATGCTAGTTTTAACGCCCACACCACTTGAGACAGACACAGCGGCTAGGGCTTATCTGTTACTGGATTTCGTTCGGTTAATCGAATCACTCGACAAAGTATGCGCTTTTCATTCAATTCAAAATCAAGTTTTTTTGTACTTTTATCCGCGTTGAATAAGTTTTAATGCGTTTCTGAAGGAGCATGTTTTGCTAATGTAACAAAACTGCGACTTCATTTTTAATCAGAAACAATTTTGTAATGTTATAATTATAATGTTATAATCGTCGATAACAACTAGCTAATTACAAGTTAGAGCAATGTAATCGATAAACAACAAATATTACAATTAAAACAATCAATTTCTCCTTTTTGCTGCTTTTAAGGAGGATATAGATATACATTATGTTATCTGACCGCGCGCACAGTGGTAGAAAAGAAAATTTGTGACCAAAAGAAAGTACGAGTGCTTGAGAATTAGAAAATAGCAAATGCAGGAAAAAAGCTGTTGAAGAGCACACTATAGAGCCAGACCTCCGCACACGGTACAAGAGCATCAATAATTTTTACGTGTTTTATTTAGATTATCTACAAACTTTGATCACCGAGGGATTGCGTGGAAAAGTTTAAAAATGATTTAATTACATGTATAAGTAGCATGATCCACTTCTGTGAATACAAATGTCCCTTATAAGACAAGCGTTTAAAGCGATTGCATTCATGAAAGTACAATACAATTTGATATTATACTGTGGTACGATGTTGTTGCAGCCAAAAATATTCTAAAAAATATACTGAAATTATTGAAATGTTAACACAATTATAATTTATAATAAGCATAGTTAAATATTCAAATTTGCGAGGCTGGAGCGTTCGATTTAAATAAGCAATGGGCCCGATGATGTAACCTCCTCGCTGGTGCTACATTTCCTTTTCCGTAGCCAGACTTTATTCCGTGAACAAAGTGCTGAACCCTGTATTGGACTTCCAAGAATAATTCCAGTAGCCGCAACTATAAAAAGACGCTACGCTGGTCATAATTTACGAAACGCGGCTTAATCTTTTAAGGAGTTTTTAGTCTCACAAGCTATTGTTAGAAATTTAAACAGTCATACCCGCGTGGTTTCCACGAAACAGTCACCCAATCGCCTTCGGTCATAAACTGGTCCTAAGTTTCGATTCCCTCCTTAAGCCGCGTCTACACTTGATACCTTCGTTGTCGTCAGCGTTGGGTTTAACAGTAAACTGACCGCGTGAGGGCAATATGTAATTTTATTGGCCGATTTAATCCCCACCAGCTAATAACCGACAGAAGTAAATACTCCCCTCTTCTGCTGTTCAACTCGACGAATTAGAGCGCTAAAAACAATGGACCTCCTCCCCACACCCTCTAGATAATGACAATTGCGTCAGATGACTACTTTTATGACGCTGCATCCAGACAAAACAATACCTACAACTTTGAAAGAATTATCACAGAGGTGGTGAAAGAAACGTAATTTTTTACATTGTGTCAGAGTAAAATTTGGGTTCGTGGAAATGTCAATGTGTCGACCCGTTCACGTGCCCAATACCGGAAGTAACAGACGCAACATTCGACAGCCATAACTTATTCCAAAGTCCCACTTCCTGTTACGGCAAGTATTAAAGCGAGTTTCGTAATCTTTACACGGAAGTGTCGATGAACTGTGAACTGACGGTCAGTTCTGAATGACGTACAAAAATATTAAACTGTGCCCGATGTACTTACCAATCAGGGGATCATTTTTTGAATTCCCGCGAAACATACTTATTGCACGACTCGAAAAAAAAACACATTAAATTGATAATTACTGCAATCGTGAATTTTCTAGAAAACAACTGGTTAATTATCGTTTTCTTTCTTGTTTTAGGTAAAAATACATTCGATAAACGGCCATTTAACTTTAAATATCTTTACGTGACATTTTTACAATAATTACGAACTCATTTATTACGTAAATGACATAATTAATAATTATGTTAATTGCTGCTCGAGAGCCCGAACGTTTGAGCGGCTGAAAAAAAATGCTACGAACCAGATCTTTAGAATGTACAATAATTGTTACGTTTGAAATAGCTTTAAATGCGTATTTTCACAGAATTTTCAACCTGGAAAACAAGCGTTAGCAAATTAGTCACGCGTTACGCTTATTTTTTCAATGAAAAACTCGGATTTTCACGCGGCCCGTTGGGTAGCGTGAATTTTTGCAGTTCGAGCGAATTTATTTCTGCGGTTAACAGAATTTCCAGTGCCGATTTTCATTGGAAGTTGGAGCGGCCCGATTATGTCGAAACTTCCGAGAAACCTACGTCAGCCTTACAAAACTCGCAGCTTTGCGTTTGTTACACATTTCGTGAGGGCATTATAATTATTCCTCTATTTTCGTGCGACTAAATTTAGCGAATTGGTTTTCGAACGTGTACGAGATTTCATTATAATTGTAAATAGGGACATTTTAATCAGTGCCAACAATGCTATTCCAGGCCAAAAAGAATGTTAGCCCATAATAGACGATAATATCACATTAAATATAAACGTAAAATACATTAAAATTCCTTTTCTACGGCGACCACAGCCGCTAGGAATCGGAACGAGCGGAATACAAAGCGACATGTGTGTGCAATTCAGTAATTCTGTTTAAACTTTAATGTAAACGACCCTGAATAGCGTATAAACGTTCTTGAGATTTTTTTTTAAACGGAATTCATTATCTCAGATTTCTCGGTACGACTTCTAATACATTTTATATACCGTCATTATCTGTTTTAAATATATATTCCTGGCGTTACGTCCGTCGTTCGTTACTTTCCTCTGGCGATAATATTGGCATAAATATTTTTATTGGCTATTAATTGATTAAATTTACATACGCATATCTAGCAGTACCGAGAAACATAAACGTACCACAAAAAAAACCGTAACCTTAATTTTTTAGATCTGTGAATGCAAACTGCCTTAATTGAACAGAACATTTTTATTGCCAACGTTCCCATAACTGTTCATTTAAAAAACACATTCAAATTAAAACTAATTTCGTATTCCATTCAGATAAAAGCTTTGCTTAATCTGGTGGTTCCGTGACATTCATGTTTTGGACGCGATCGCATTAACTTTTAAAATTCTCTCAGAGTAGATCTGCGGCTCCTCTCGGAAGGCCAAAGGATAGTTTAATGAACTTGTAAAAATTTAGGTCAATATTTCGTGTACTCAAGTATCTGCGTTCGTTTCATAACAGTCAGTCAGTCAAGCGAGTCGGTTTGCGTGCTGGTAGATTTACGAGCTTTTTAGAAAGTTTAGCAAAACGCTACGGGCTGTTTTTTGACTCTCATTTGAAATAGTGAAACGAGAACGGGAAATTCTTCACGGTTCAACAACTCACCTATCTAATTCGTAGCGGGCCGCGGCTTCTCAAACAACCAAACATTTTGACAGTAAGAGCACTTAATCCCAAATATAGGCACTACAGTAGACACTAACAACTAAGATATATCACTAGTCCGGCAGAAAGCACTATAGCACATGATTTTCTTTACGAGAATGGGTGTGTAACTTTGTAGTTTTTGAGGTTATATCATAATTCTATCGATTTTATGAGAACTGTACTTCCAAGCGGTCGCATACCGAATGCTGCCCGACGAGCTTGTATCGGTTGTCTAGATGACGCTGGGACAGAGAGCGAAACGCTACGCCTGCCTTGCGCCAGACAAAGAAACCGCTATTGTAACTTTCTGGGAACGATAGAACGTGTTTTCATTTCACGTTAAGAAGGTTCCATGGTGGGGGGTACGGCTGAGTTGAGTAGTACCGGGAATCCTTGTTCTTGGAAGGCAAGTATATATAGACCCAAGTTAGGCCCACTGCAATACGTATGTATGTAAACCCAGTGCTTCTAAAAATGTGTCATGAATGGGACTATTTACATAATTGAACAAGACGGATTGATTTGATTAGCGCGGGGTAGGGGATAAAAAATGTTACAGTGGCAGAGAGGAGGCGTTGAACTGAACATCTGAAACAGAAACGGAGGGCCATCTGCATTCAATGGAAGTGGCATTCTATTTTGTGGAGCGCGTTCCCGTGGCAGGATTCTTTTGTGCTTACTTTCTCGGAAAGCTTATTGTGGGATAAATTAACTTTTAATGCGATTAGATATTCTTCCACGATTAATTTCGATATCCTTCGAAATATAACACGTTAAATCTCTTTCGAAATATGATTAAAAATCTATCTACTCTGCTAGGTATTTATAAAACTATCAAAATATTTAAAACTTCACAGAATTTTCCAAGTCGGTAGTTCTTAGTTACTGATTAAATATTTAAAGGAACTAATTACTTGTTTTTACGGAAATAATACTGGGAATATTTGTTATTATTTAGCCTTAAACTATAAAAGAGCGTTTTGTAAATAGACCTTCCCGGAAAGTGTACCTGAAATTCAAAACCACTGGCTTACATATTTACTATTCTACAAATCAATAGTGTCCCGCTTTCTAAGACTTGGATGATTGCATTGTTAGTTGAAGAAACCATTTCTCTTTTATCGGGAAAGACTGATTAACTGTAAAAACTGGACAGTTCCTGTCCGTTTTCTGTTCGTGAGAAATACAGGTGAGCAACAGCAGGTTACGACAAACTTTCAAGGCTAATTACTCTCAAAGTAAACGATTAACATTTTTTTTTTAGTAAAATGATTCCTTAGGATTAACTTTGTCTTCAATACGTGCACAATTGTTAAGGTTTCAATTAAATCGCATTCAACATGTTTTTGACTTATATTTACCATTTCTATTTCGTGCTAATTACGGGAATTATTACGCGAATCTTACCGCATCCAGCTCATCACAGTTCGCAATAAGAAAATATCCTTTCCGTGCGTCAATTTATTTTCACGGTAGATATTAAGCGGAAACTTTCATGATTTGTCGTTTTGCTGGAAAACTGAGAGTGAGGAAATAATGGGAAATGTAATATTCGTTTCTGATAGTGTACAACATTGCTGGAATTCCAAACATTTTCCAGACTGCTTGCTGTATTGTAAAATCAAACCATCTCTATTGTAGTCTAATTATGTAGTAGTTTGCTTCAATATACAGGGCGCCTCGAAATTAATGGGACACAAAGCAAGAGTAGGTTCCGGACGAGAAAATATGTAATGCGATGTAGCCCAACTTATTTCAGTCCAAAAAGTCCGTTAAAATTCTTATTACGGCTCTGATCAGCGCCTGTCCATCCAAGGTAACCCAAAAAGGCATAGGTATTCTATCTCGGGTGGCGGTGGGACGCCACAATATCATTTAACAATTGAAGTGCTAAGTCAAGGCGCATGTTATTCATATCCAATTGTCACAATTTAGGAATGTTCTCCGATAATTTTTTTATTCGGAAAATCAGCCGGTTCGGAGAAACTTAATCATAGTGGTAACGTGAAAGCAATTAGTCAAAATCTATACCGCAGAAAATTGATAATACGGCGGTCGTTACTTTGTTATTAATTCCGGTGTAAGCTTAAGTGTTAAAAATTCTGAAAAATACGCTTAGAAACCGCGTCTCTAAAAATTTCGTTCGGGTTCAATGTTGGCGATTAATTTTAAGAAACATGACAAACAAATCCTCAGTATCAGGTCCGGTTATATCATATCTTATATTTACTTGGTTAAATAAATCAAATTCCGAGAATTAATTACTTAAAATAATCGCGAATGTATCAAATGTAAGCGCTGTTCATTTTTTAGCGGAATAATTTTGATTTTGATGAAGCTTATGCAAATACAGGGCGGTCCACTTTCCGATGAGGAAACTTGCAATCAAAAACATTATTATCCAGTAACGTGCTAGTACGGATGCCATTGACAAAACTCAAAATAATGTTTTTCATTGCAAAACATGCTCCCTCGATGGTAGTTAAAGTCTACAAAATTTCATTGAAATATCTGTAGTCGTTTGGCAATATTTAATAAATTTGATTTTTTTAACCAATCTTGAACACCTTGTATTTCCTTAACAAAGCATTTCTCGAATATACTTTACTAGCAACCCGCCCCGGCTTCGCACGGGCAAATATAAAATAGCATATGTTACTTCGAGGAGATGTAGCTTTCGGTAAAATTGGTGAGTAGCTAACTTTTCTGTGACTTAATTAAACCATAGAAAAACATCTTTTAGGCTTTAGGAACGCAAAGAACAACAATGTGAAAAGCGTCGACTTGAAAAGCACGCTGCCCCAGAGTGAAAAAAGCGTAAACAACGATGGGTTTTTACGAGTTTAAAAACTCGCAATAAATCATTGACAATAATTACAACAAGCAAGTACATATGTCGTTATTCACTTATCAATTTATAAAAATATACATACTGTAAGATAAATTAATTAGCGACTTGCTTAAATTCATCGGAATGGTGATAAAACTTCGATAGTGGCGATACAATTGGCGCCTATAACGCCACTGTTTATAAAGGAAGTGGCTACTCCACCGGCTTCGGAAGAAACGCAATATACGCTAAAATCTATGAAATGACCTTTCGAACGGTAAATATTAAAAGATAGGTATGTAGAATCAGTTATTTCGATAAAATTTTATGAAGGAAAAAAATGAGTAAAGACTGAAACTCTGGAAAATCACAGACGACAATTATACACTTCCATCAATCTGTTGAACAAATGACATCAATCATTTTAAAGGTTCTAGAGTTATTGCAACACTTGGTTAAATAAAAAAATAGTTTAAGGAACTATCAGCCGGTGAATCACTTGTTTCTTTGATAAAATTATTAGTAAATGATCATATAGATATATATTTTTAATGACTTTGACTGTTGCATTCCTCAGATAAGATATTTTTAAGTAACATCTGTTGTACCCTATTGTAACAATAATTCGCAATTATCTGATGAGTACAAGTATTTTCTTTTTTCAAAAAATTGTTTAATATTGTTTTAGAACAATAGTAAAAGAAAAAGTTGTTTTTCTCCGTCACAAAACTATGACGTTCTTTGATTGTCAGAAGTTAAAGGCCTTACCGAGAAAAAAAATGGTATCACAGTTTGAACAAGTATTAAAATTAAATAAACCACTGAAACCGTCACTACCCTCATTCTTGGAGCAATTCTCAAACCAATCCCACACGTTTTCATTAAAAGTTATATTATTTTCAGATGTTATGAAATCACAAATGACAACGGTGTTTGGTTTATCAATACCACTATCAACTTTCAGTATTTTTTTCGCAATATTTTCTTTATTCAAAAGTGAGTCTTCAATGTAGCCTTTTTTTGTTAAATTTTTAGAAGCGAGTATAGAAAGTTTATTTTTGTGTTACGTTTTATCTAATACTCTAATATTCTGGAAGAAATACTACTTGTTCTTTCTCATATTTTATAGTTGTTACTTTATTTGTTACTTTTAATAATAAAATACTTTTAAATATCACGAAATCAGAACTAAAAAAAATAAACTGCATATTAAGATAATCTTTACAAAAATAATTTAAAAAAATGTTAAATTTTATGATACAAAAACTCGCGTACTGGATTTTTTTATTTTTTGCATATTACTAAACTGAAAACAAAGTACCTACCAAAAAATTTTAGTGGTAATTTTATTTTGTATCGATATAAATTCCCAGCTTATCTGTTGACAAGCTTTATTTTTGATTAAGGAAGTGAAGAACAACGCAGTTTATCAACCTGCGTATCATGTTGTGAATAACTGATAACAGATATCCTTAGAGTATTTCTGACCATGACAGATTTAGTCGTTTACTTAAAACGATGTCTTCACTTTTTCGAGAATTCGCTTACGAAAAGTATCGCCCTGTTGACACTGGAAAGAGGCTGGACTAGAATAGTGTCGTTATCGCTTACTTAGAACACTAAAAACATTTTTGTTTGTTCTCGAAACGCACGTGGAACGCGATAGAGATTAATTTGAAACTTCGGAGTGTCGCAATGTTTAGAAATATAAGCGTCAAGGTTGTTTTTAAAGTCAAATTTTAATTTTATTTTTTTACGCGCAATGGTATCTCGCATAGAAAATATATCCTCATTAAAAAAACTACAAAAAAATTGTGAGACAAAAAAGACACTTAATCCGAATAAAACATGCCATTTCTTCTCCAATTGAAATCCCCCATTTAATTATTAATTTGTGCTTTGAAATTATTCAAACCGATTTGTATAATAAAACAAAGTAGGTAAGTTCGATATATCGATGTAGACTCATTTTAGAATAAAGAAAATATTGTGAAAAAGATACTAAAAGTTGACAGTGGTAATGATAAACCAAGCACCGTTGTCATTTCTGATTTCACGTCTGAAAATAATGCATATAGTCCAGTTACTCAGGGTTTTTACCTCCGAATTCTTTATAACTGAACCGATTGACGTGAAATTTTGACTGAATGTGGGGAATGCCTCAAGGAACAAAACTTATATAGTGCCGAAGTGTGCTTTTGCCCCGGGGGCGGTTCCCACCCCTTCTTGCGGGTGGAAATTTTTACGCCCAAAATAACCACAGGAATCGATATAGGAGTCAATTTTAAGTAACAAATGTCATATAAAGTTTTTTGGATAATCCAATACTTTTCGAGTAATTCGTCATTGAAAATGTTGATTTTTTACTAAAAAAGTGCTTGTTTTCGGACCGTTTTG